GTATAGCCAATCGATGCATGAAGGGAATCAGTGCTAATTCATTTGGAACATCTAAACAAGCCTGGAAGCAATAAGGTGAAATTCCTTTAAAGTAAAGCAACATTTTCACAGTTTTGTTAGGGGAGTAGGCCCTACATATACTTTGACGATGTCCCGGCCTTGCCACCCAGTCACGATGAGATTACGCCAAGGCTGCTGCGTAGGAAAAACGTTTCACCGGCAAACTGCGGGTCCGTACGCGGAAGCAACTTGTGAAGTCCGTGTTAAGGCCCTGTCACACCTTGACAATTTAGCCAGCGTACGCCGACGTATGAACACATTGGTGAAGACGCTGACATATGATACATAGCGTATTCATAAAGAGTTGGATATATCATGGAGGTAGGAAAAGATTATACCAGGGGAGAACCCGTGCTAACTCCTTCTTTTCCTACCTCCATGGATATATACATAACGTATTAGTAACTTACATAAAACGTGTCGATAAATTATAGATAACTTATATAGGTTACGGTAGCCATCACTTGTCGGAAACGTCCAGTAAGTTCTGTGGTCGTCCGGAACACGTCAAATACGTCTACGTGCGCTCATGGAGGTAAGTTCGATATAAGTTACACATAGGTTCAAAGTATATGCTACTCATCGGTTAGAAATAAGTTTTGGGTACCCTAGACATTATCTCGACGTACTTCGACTTAATTGAGCAATTTACAAGTAACATGTGTGGACGTGTGTCAACGATCCCATTGCTTTAACAACTTATGGCCCGCGTATCCGGGACGTATGAGCCATACGCTGGCATACGTCGAAAATTTTATGCATGCACAAATTTTTCGACCACCTCACCGCGTACTAGGACGTATATCAGCGTTTCCAAACCACGCATATTCCAAGAGCAGTTTTCGTAATGCAACAGTTTGCTTCCCCCGCCCCTTGTGAAAGTCGACATCTCGTGTCCGCAGCAAATTACTGTAAAACACGGACGTACCACAGTATGGCTACAATTGTTTTCAACGTGCCCATAGCCATGGAAAGACACCCTTACTTTCACAAGAGGGCAAACCAAAGTCACCGGAGCTTGCTACTTGACCATTCCAAACGCCACAACTCTTTTGTGAAAACTTGACTCAAGAGCGCTATGCCGACCTTGCCAACGATGAAGGCTTGCCGAAAAGCAGATGGACTGCTCTGTGTACATGTGTAGTACGGTATCTATTTCGAAATTTTAAGGGGAACCGGCCGGGGGCACTGACTTCCGCTTGAGGGGAGGAGGGATACGGCCCCCGTAGTTACGCCACGTGTCCATAGCAACAGCATGGGGCCCGTTTGCCATCGTTTTCATGACATCACTCAAAACAGATCACCGACTACGAAAAAAAGACTTCCCTCCTGAATACCAGTCTCGATAGAATGTGCTCCCCCAAGAGGAGTATTTAATACCAAGTACCAATAATAACGCCCAGTTCTTGGTTCCAAAATTCTGACTACTTTTTTGGCAGATTCTAAGCCACTGGAAGTCGTCACCTCCTACAAATGTCTTGGTGTTACTATTTCAATTGACCTCACCTGGACAAAACATGTAGAGACCATTCGCAGAAGGTGCTCCAGGCCTGCTGGCTTCATAAGACGTACTGTAAAATCCAGAAATGCCGGCGTTTTACTCAAATTATACTGTTCTCCCTGCAGACCAATCTTGGAATACGGCTCACCAGTTTGGCTACCCCATACACCAGAAGAACCACATTCAATGTCTTGAAACAATCCAACGCCGCTTCACTAAATCGTGCTTTCCTCACAATGCTGCTACACTTATCAACAACGTCTTGCTAAACTTGACTTGCCTCCTCTGTACAACCGCCTACTCTACCTCATCATCTCATTAGTCGGCAAATCCCTCCACAAATAGGCTTCTCTTTCTTCCGAGTTTTTCCCGGCAGGTTAACACCAGGAAAACCGACATTTTGTTATTAAAGCATCAATATACAGCCGGACCAACAGTTCCAAATATTCTCTGTTCTATCTTCACCCTCTTTCCAAGATGTTTTAACTCACTCCCTGCATGGTGATATTCGGGGCCTTTGTCTCGAACCTTCTCTGAAACCCTTCAACTCTTTACGAGGTATCTCTTCAGCCTTCACCCCATTTCCTGTGCCCTCTAGAACACTCCTTCCAACAGACATGTAACATTCCTCCCCTCTTCCTGCCCACCAGAAGCCAATTATCAAACTTTCATACAGATAAAGCTCCATCTTTCTCAAGATTAATTATAATCCTACGTCAAATACCTTGAAAATGATTTTTATCATTTTTTACCAGTAATCAATGTACTGTTCATATTAATGTTATTATCTAAATTGGTTAGTTTAGTTTAATTTGATTCAGTTCAATTTTTTATTTTCCAACTCTATGTTCTGTTACTTACATGCTGTGTTAAAAACGCATTTTATTTTATTGGAAGAAATTGTTTATCATGTAAATTTGCTTTGTACCTGAAGATATATATCAATAAATCCAATAAGTTTGTAGAGCCTCTCGGCAGAAACTTCTTTCTTTTAGGCATTCCAGTGGGAGCTAAGTGGATATTGTGTATTTGGTGTTATTGTTGGTGGTCCTCAGTGCAGCTTGTAATTATTCTTGGCCGTGATTTGTATATACATCCCGGACAACGAAATAAATGTAATGAAGTCTCAGCCGCCATGAGCCGACTGATGTCGATATTTGAGACCTTCATCGCTGACATGCGCTACGTAACTGATCCTCCCGTTCATCATTCCATGCTGTTGTGCCGAAGCCTGATTGCGGAGGCGACCCACTCGTTGTGGCGACATCTGGAAACGCAGACGGTTGTGGGCGTGTTTATTTTCACATGTTGACACAATACCCGCGGCAGGTGAGCTGTTGCTGGTGATAACATGATATTTGGCAATTGTGCATGACGTGTCAACGGGACGAGCTTCAAGCCATCTGTTGCCGGTGACGAATGCTGGTTGGCTGCTTGTGTCCAACGAGAAATCCAAGGCCGACTGAGTTCATAAGAATTTTGACTTAATATGTTTAATTTCCAAAGGATAATATGTAACAGCTGTGAATAGATTTTAAAAGAGAGTTTACATTTGAAAATAAAATAACTGGGTGTATTTTGAGAGGAAATAATAGACCAGTGCACACTGAATATTAGCGTTAGGTACTTGCCAATTAAACAAATGCCTCGTCAGTTTTACCCAAACATAAACTGAATCAATTTTGAGCCAACTACATGTATCAGCAAAAAGTCACAATGGAAAACTCTAAGGAGAACTTTCGCGAGTTTGGGTAGTTCAATAAAAAGGGAACTCCAAATTTTTGGAGTCCAGAAAGTTGTTCGTGTAAATAAATATCAGTGCTTTTTCCTTGGTTTTTTGTCTCAAAATCATGACAATGTATTTGTTTACACCTTAAAGTTGGTAACTTTTCGAATTGTGTTTAATGTAAGCATATACACCAACAAGTTACAAATGTTTCTCATTTCTTGAGCTACAAATAACTACACAAACATAATTCTAATATTTTCTTTGGGGACTTCATCAAAATGAAAGTTTTTTGCTCTCATAGTAATCCTTGGCCGAAGAACCACCCAGTCGTTAAGATTGCAAATTGCGAAAAAGCCAATGATTAAATTGCGCGCTTTGTGAATACCTGATCAAACTGTGGCCTTGTTCACTAAGTGGCAAACTGCATACTAAAACGGGAATGCCTTTGTCGTAGCAGAAGCATTCCAATTTGGCCACTTTGTAAAAGTGTGATGATGTTACAAATATCTCGGGACCGGACCGGCTGAAACCCTCAACTGCACAGGGGCCCACAAACACCGCCTTACCTGTCAGTCGGCAAGTTGTGAACCATGTCATACCATGGGTCTGGGCCTAAGGCGAGAACAGAATTAAAGAAAAATGAGGGTGTTAAACACTCATCCTACTCGCCCTACGGTTACCATAAGGTCATCCCTGTACATCCTGTCCAATTTACAGCTCAAAATCTATCACCGCTAAAAAGGCATTCCAACGAAATGCAACAAAATGAAGTACTGTACTAGATGAACCTGAACCCTACATGTACCTTAACCCTACATGTACCTTAATCCTACATGTACCTTAACCCTACATGTACCTTAACCCTACATGTACCTGAACCCTACATGTACCTGAACCCTACATGTA